ACACAATAAAACATTTATACAAAATGTATTAAGGATTTCGTTGCTATAAATTTTATCTGAATTTCAATTTTCAAGTTTTTTTTTAAATATTTTATAAAATGAAAATTTGGAGAAAATATAATGGTATCAATTCAATTAATCTTAAATATCATAAACAATATTATCGCGCGTAAATAATAAGCTACAACAATAAGCTACAAATGAAGAATAATAATTTATATTGCGCAAAGTATTGCAGAATTCGCCAGTTATAAGAAAATTTCAATAGGTGCACTCTCGCGATTTGTGTTAACTTGTTTTACAAAGGGTTTTATAACACTAAACTATACATGCACCCCCGTAATAACACTTAATAATCGGTTGATGATTCTATGCATTGAATTGACTAAAACTTTTCTCTTTTTATATATTTGTACAATATATTTTCATATTTGAAAAATATATCTCCCTGCCTATGTTGTTAAACATCTTGCCTCATATAAAATGCTCAAATAATGGAAAATGTAAAGGATTTGCCTTTACATAATTCAGTCTCTGGTACTCGCGGGAAAGTTTCTCTCTAGCATATGATCTGTTGGAGTCAACTTTATAGGGCAAAATTAAACAATTGGATAACTATTCGACACGATACTTTTTTCTATGTAATTATACAGAATGGCTTCTATTATATCAATTGCTTCTGAGATCTTCAATATCTCGTAACATTAAACTACATTGTATACTTTGTGTAGAAATAGATAATAAAAACCATTCTTATAACATGTATATAACGTGTCCAGCTTTGCCACTGACTTTAAAAGTTGTTCAACTTGTAAATTTTTGCCTGCTTATTGCTGTTAAAAATCGAAAGATAAATGCCAAGCACCTTTCTCTCTTTTTTTTTATCAATATATATACATCTGATGCATACATAATTTTGATAATGTAAATTCTTTATCGTAATAGAAGATTTATGCGACATGTAACTTAAAATATCTTAATATCATGCAGCAAAGATAAACTAAATTAAAAATAACAACGTGAACAGTGATGTGAATGGGATTACATACATGTATAACACAATAATGATATATTAATTGCTGCTTAGAATTAACTACAATGTGATGATAATTCCATAAACATTTATGTTGAAGGATATGCATTATTTCATTGTTAGTAAGATGTAATCAAATGCTAACGATTTTTTGTCGCTCAATTTACGATATAATATCATATGTAATAATAATTTCTTTTAATTCATATTAAAATTACGCAATTAGTAAATTCTTAAATTCATATTGGATTGTAATCACGTATGAATTGATGTTGAATCGTACACAACGGTTTTCCTACACATTTTGTGCTAGATTCAATTCAATTCAGTTTTTCACAATAAAAGAAATGCTAAAATATATTTTCCTATCTATACATTTCTTTCTACGAAAGAGAATTAATAATTGTAATTTCTCCTGCCGTAATAATTGTAAGAGGGAAGCACTTAATAATATCCACTAATGATTCATTTTTTCCTCACGCAATTCCTATGCTGCCGTCATTTTTACATACACGTTTTTAATACTAGTGTAATGGTTATTTTTCATATAATCTATTTTAATTATAAAAGCATCAACTTTTTCACGCATTGTGTCCATGTTCCAGACAATGTACACATGATGAGAAGTGAATGCTAATTAGATAATGCTCTTCCGAGTTTTTTTTTTTTCATAATATGTATATATTTTTATGATACATTTTATCTATAAGGCATAATCCCAATTCTTCCAAGATTAATATACATTATGTATAAAATACACATACGGCAATAATTCCTGCCAAATTTGTTCCCGCATAACACACAAGTAGTATAATGCATATTACAGAAGTTACACGCATTTTTTTGCAAGTTACAGGAATGCTGCTTGTCGTCGCCTTTACATTAATTATTGGTTTAGACTTAGACTGTATCAAGCTGCCTCGCAATAATCAGGAAAAATGATTGATTTGCTTGTATGTTATTTGTTATTATTGTATAGTATTTTTTTACTAGATATCGTTTTTTATATTTATGTATATATATAAATACCAATTGTTAAGAATTTGTATCGTAGTATCGAGATACTTCTTATATAAATAAAAATTACAAAATACCGACATGCTTCAATTTATCCTTTCGAATTGTCTTCTGAACACACGTCTTTGACATACAATGTCTCCTAAAACACGTTATGCCTAGAGCACGTTATGCTTGAACGCTAATAGAAAATATTTCGCTATATATAATCGTTTAACATTGAACCCTGTATAAACTGGAGCCCAGGCGGAAAATGTTGGCGGAAAGATTTATTATCGTTAATTTCAATCAATTGAAATAAATAGTGACACGTTTCTGCGTAAAGCTTAAATTTTTGCATATTGTGTCTCAAGACTTTGTGTTCTAGACTGAACATGTAATCCTTTATTGGAATGCAGGAAAGAACGATGCATTAGGTTGCTGCTGCTGATTCTGTGGTAGAGATTGCACCGGTGACATATATCCCATTCCTGCTGCTATAGGCATACACAATTTTATTCTTACTCATTCATACTCCAGCAGTTAAGAATGAGACGGTGTTCAGACTATAATAGCTCTCTAATTTAAAAATCACTTAAGATTAACAGAGACAATTGCGTTTTATCGAACGTAACGCTATCTCAGTTTATCAATCAGAAAACAATTTTATCAATACAGTACTTAATAGAAAAGCGACCCTATAGCAATCTGCAAACAGATCGTTAAGAAATTACTTACGTCCTATTTTGATCTGATGTTGTGGGCTGTTGCTAGCCAATTGGTTCATCGTCGGTGCTGGGCCAGTTTGTTTTGTTTTACTACCCATTATGTTATCGAGGTCGATATTCAATCCCGAACCAGCCCAAGTCGAACCGACTTGCGTAGAAGACGTCGTATTAGATGTTTGATTTCTAGTATTGATGGTTGTAGGTGGAAGAAGATTCGTGACGGGCGACAATCCGACCGATCCTAAATATGACACTAATTTTAATTTATAGCATGCATTGTAGTTGTTATCTCATATCTGTATAAGAATCTACAAGTACATATAAATTTTTTTATGTTCCAATATATACATAAAAACAGTTTAATATTATAATATTAAAATTTATAATAGAAAATAGATTTATTTTATTTGATGCTATATATTGATAAAGCATTTGAATTAATTAAACATTGTCCTACAAAGCAATTATTTTTATCGCATAAGTCATATATGTGTTAAATATTTTATTTCACTTCATGAAAAATGAAATGCTTTCAATGTTTTTAATTTTGGAAAACACTAATAACATAATATATTACATAATTTTTATATATAGACAGGTTATCAACTAAAAATTACACTGATAACAGTTTTCTTGTATTTAAATTACACACATAATCCATTTCTGTAATTTTCACAAACAGAAAAAAGAAAAATTAATTCTAAAAACAAAATATATTCTGCGTGAAAATGTATTACATACATATAGTTATATAAATGATTGTAATACTGTAAAAATGAAAAGTTCTATGTAACAATATTATATAATGATTGATTGAAATCTTCAATCAATCTACACGCTTAAAAGTAGAGCTTATAATCAAATTGATGAAGGCTAACACTTTCGCGTTTAAAGCCCTGCAATTTGCATCGTGTTCGCCGTTAACGACGTTCTGTGATAATAGAAGCCATTCTCTTATTTCCATCAAGGGTTCAGACAATTCGTCGATGATAGCATCCTTCGGCACTGCAATAAGTACAGATCCGATATTTTCTGTAACGGCTAATCTCACAGTCGCTTCATCGTGATTCCTCACTGTCCACAGAAGCTCTAATATTTCTTTGCCCATCTTTGATGCCAGTGAACAATTTTGCGCCGCTAACATTATGGCAGATAACGTTTTCAGGAAACGTAATAATAAAATATTTTCCTGATCCGAATAAATTCTTAAGCCATTAAGCTTAAGGATATCACGACGGCCAAAGCCGTGCAGAAGCGGATAGAAAAATGCAGATGCTACATTTCCAAAGTGATTAATATGTAATTTAAGAGATTTAGAGTTATGTGCAAATCGTCTCGTACGCGACGCAATTCTTTTATCGATAATTTCTTGCCAATTCATAGATTGATCTTCCGACGCTTCTAAATCAATGTCGAAGTCTTCGTTGTACCACACTTGTTGCCTTTTATTTTCTTGTGTATCGATAAAAAATGATATGCGACTTGGAATTCGTTTCTTTTTAATCGCCGTATCTACGGTAACGTCGGTGTTATCTGCATCTTTGATATCTATTTTTGATAACTGCCTAGCAGATTCGGCCAATATATCCAGGAACAATAAGCGATGACTCAGTGAGTACTTGCCAGTGTCTTCATAGAACTCTTTACAAAGAAACTCGGCGCATTCTTTCGGACGCACAGTTACAATCGCTACGCAACATTTAAAAATCACAAGTTCAAAATTCTCCATGTAAGACTGTTGCTTCAACGTGACGAGAAGCTGTAAGAGTTCTATCGCGAAAGATACATCGTCGTTCGATAGCTGTGTTAATATTAATTCTTCGCAGACCAGCAAGGATTCAGAAAAAACATCGGGATTGGAAAAAGTACGTTCGTCCGTTAAATTATCACGCAAATCCCGTAAGTACATCGGACGTACCTTACTGGGCGGTTTGTCGTTATTCATATCGTAAGGGACTAAGTCGTCGTCACTATCCAGATCCGAATCGTCATTGGCATTTGATTTTGTCTGTTGATTCGTTTCATTCTTCTTCGTTAGATTATCTTTTATTGCGCTGGTTTTCGACAGGTGTGTGTTCTCTTCAATTTTTTCGTTTAACAGATTT